CCGTACGTTTTTAAGGCATAGTCTCAGCATTCCCAGTGCTTCAATCCTCGTGGCGACTGAGTTGCTCCCGCAATATTATACTAAACTGATAGCTGATGTTGAGCAACTATTCGTTAGCCCCTTGAGGATTGATCATAACCTCCCTTTCGCACTAAACAACGCAAGAAAGTCGTAGACACATTACATCACATCACAAACATGAAATAACAACTCTAATGACTGATTAATATCGGTGACGATTTCCTCACTTTGAATCTTCTCGGAACTTGCAACTGCGTTCCCCGAAGGATGTAGGGTTATAGATTATATGTGACTTGACAGAGGGCTCCGCGAGACGTCTAGAAAAGATGTTTGCTCCCTCGAAGTCCCACTTGAAAAGACCATACGACAACACTCGCTTGTGTTGCTCATCTGTCAAATGAACATCGAGAAATTTATATGAACGACCACTTAATACTGACACTTTCGCATCAGAGTACTTCACATTCTCTAGGGTCACGTCTTGTTGAATATTTCTCCCACCGTAATAGTTAGGGCGGATGACTTTCCATGAGATATCAAGGTACCCAGTAGTATCGCTCTGGGGATGGTCAATAATCGTTCCATATAGGAAAGGGCATCCCTCAGCCTTATAGGTACGACTCCTTGGAATGTTGGTGCTCGTAGGAGAGAGCTCACCACTGCTGGTCGACCATACGCTTGATGATGTACTCCCAGAAGAACGCGATCCACCAGACCTCAATCTCCCAGAGGTACTCGAACTGGAACTACTTGGACGGGTGTCGGTGGATGACGACGTACGCAGAGAACCCTTATTAGTCGAACGCCTTTTTCCATAGCTTCGGTATGAGTGGCTGCTGTAAGACCCCAAGCTGAAGTCAGCGTGTAGTAGCACCACAGCTAGCACGTGAAGCACGCAATGATACCACATCGTTAGTGCGAAGTAGAATGAGGATTTGTCTCTTGGGAGAGACACGATCGATTGGTGTTGGGCGAGCGCGTATTATACCAATTTTTACACCGGCCGCTGCAACAGGTCTCGCCCATCCGGATTACGCCGAATCGGTGTTAACCACATCTGTAATAAACTATAATTAGGAGACGCTGTATTGTATCAAATTGAAAATATCAGGATGGAAACAGGAACAACCTCATTCTTTGGCCAAGTTGTTTCAACCTTGTAACACAGCATAGGTCTATGTAACAGTTCATCAACTGTTTACCTTGTAACACAGCATAGGTCTATGTAACAGTTCATCAACTGTTTACCTTGTAACACAGCATAGGTCTATGTAACAGTTCATCAACTGTTTACCTTGTAACACAGCATAGGTCTATGTAACAGTTCATCAACTGTTTACCTTGTAACACAGAATAGGTCTATGTAACAGCTCATCAACTGTTTACTTTGTAACACAGCATAGGTCTATGTAACAGTTCATCAACTGTTTACTCTGTAACACAGCATAGGTCTATGTAACAGCTCATCAACTGTTTACTTTGTAACACAGCATAGGTCTATGTAACAGTTCATCAACTGTTTACTCTGCAACACAGCATAGGTCTATGTAACAGCTCATCAACTGTTTACTTTGTAACACAGCATAGGTCTATGTAACAGTTTGAGTAGGGATAGACCTGTATGATCCCTCCAGACTACTTGTCTTAGGAACCTCAGTAGAAAAACCAGCCTCTTACAGTTACTCTCTTTGTCTCATGTTGGTTTTCGGAGGGCCCTCTAATAACCTCCAAGGCCGTCGACATGTTCCTAATAGAATCGGATCGTCAAACTGCAGGCACATTGCAGACTTCGCCGTTGAGGTGAGGTGATATAGTTGTCCGATAAGGGGAAAGTACTCCCATAGGATCACCCGAAGGCTCAATCAGCTGAGCATGTCCAGGTGGCGTTTGGCGATTGGGAACTACCTCGACTAAAGTAAGTCATGTTTCACGACTCGGAAAGGAGTGTCGAGGTAGATACCAATATGAACATCCCAACACTGCTCGGACCACGCGACTTAATATTTTGGTGCATTTAGATCAGAAGCTTTCGAAAACCACGACTGTTCAGGAAGCTGTAGTAGCTCTGAGAAATGCAGTTGCTCGCTATAGAAATTATTTCTATTGCAGATCGAATGTGGTATATTAGAAATGCTCGTGGGATTCCTACAGGACCTGGAAAAGGCCAGGCTCAGCAGTGATGGCGATGTGGACACCCACATGAGGCTACTCGCGATGAAGGTAGGCGCATATGAGGCAGTTAGGCTCGTCATATGGACGGTCCGGCTCAGGTCATTTATAGGATTTCCCGGTCGACTGTTGGCCGGGTTGGAATACTGAATAGTAGCAGTGCGTTACGGACTCTCATTGGAGAGGAGATATTACTAAGTCCCCGTTGCTGGTGGGCTGATAGTCCCTCGGGCATGTCTAACGATCATAAGCCTTATAGTCACGATTCGCTCCGTTCATGCTGAGCTTTCTATAACAAATCGGTTTTTCCCCTCATAGGAGTACTCGGCTCACCACGGCATTGACATTGCTGGAGATATCACGATTCGCACAGGGGGCGGCTCAGTTGTTCGAGATTGGGTAGGAAGTAGTAGTAGAGTCGGGTGCAGTAGGATACGTTTCGTATCAGTTACCTCACTCTACTGTATGACCGGGTCAGATTTAGGAGCTCACTTGGTCCGGAGGAGGAACGCAGTGATAGTAATAATACTCATTTAGGAAGAAAATTCATATGGATCTTCAGTTTGGAATTTCGTCTTGTGCTAAACTGCTTTGAAACTAGTACATGTGGATGTGATGTGAATAAGTTCTTTAGGGTCGTTCAAGACACGATTGAAATCGTGTTAAGAAATCGTTTCCAGAATCGCTCATCATACGTATAAAAATCGATTCTGAATTGATCCACAGTTGATTCAACGAACATGGGGTTTCTATTATCTCGAGGAATAGCGATGGATGTCGGGGACTTAGTCTTCTTGTCAGTTCGCTCGGTGATCTTCGAAGTCCTAGCTAACATAATAGCTCTTGGTCCGAGTGAGGCAGGGAGGATCGCGGCCAGTGTAAGCCCTCGATTAAGACCCGAGTTCGATCCCTGCGTCTGTCATCTTCAGTTTCCGGGCCTACATTTGTTGATCTCGCCATCGCCAACTAATTCCACTTTGGTTACGACACTGCAGTTCCTGGTCGAGGTGAGCCTAGTGGGGATTGACGCTAAGGAAGCGATAACTGCAGGGATGACTTTCGTAATGCCACTTGGGTGTTTGGTACGTCTCGGAGTCGGTGGTCCTACCATCTCAGACTGAAAAGGTCGTGCCTTTATTAATGAGCCCAGACTCCTCATGGAAGGTCGTGGAGGTGGCGTGGGCTCTGGCGGCTAGTTTGACAGTCGTGAGACGTGTGAAATACGAAGTAGTAGAGTAGGGGGGCGAATGCCAAGCGGCATACGCTTGGCACGATGGTATTCTGTCGTATTGAAAGTGGCTAGGTATGGGAGTCTGGTACTGATATGCTAGAGCACGCTCTGGAGCAGTTGAGGACAGGCGTGCCGTCGAGGAGTGTACTAAGGCATGTCATACAGGTGGTGGCGCATTTACAAGAGTTGCCGAGGTAGTGGTATCATAAGACGTGTTAGTTGTCCATATAGTACTGCGGTGATTTCAGTGCGAGAGAGTGGTTCCTGTCGCATGGGACTACTGATGCTCTTCGTAGTGTAGTTGCTGAGGAAGGTCACGACCATATGGTATGCTCGCCACGTGGTGCGTCCCCAAGTTCGCACAGTTTTGGAGTCTATGTTGGCTTTACGCAGCTGAACTGATGATGGGAGTTTATATACGAACTAGGCTAGAAGTGTTGAATCACTCAAAAGTGTCTTCATCACATGTGCATATATACCCACACTGTGTGGGGGTATCGATTGCTATGTTCTTTGCATCAGGTGAGTAAGTTGGCAAAGACGACTGTCGAGTTACTCGAATATGAACCTTAGACTTAACTTTAAATGACTCACACACTGAAATGTCCACATGTTGATGATGAATGTTGTCCTTGAAGGAGTTCGTCCCGAGTTTGCTGTAGTTGGTCATTCATGGGGGTTTACCTGAGCTCGAGAAGTGACCACTATGTGGTAGAGGTGTAATTCTAAGCTCACATGTCACCCGTTGTTGGTGAGAATGGCTCAAGTCATCGGTTACGGACGACGACGACAACGACGGCCCGCGGGCAGCAAGATGAGGAAGAGCGTACTGGTGCTGTGGTGATTCGAATGATCAAGAGTATATTGAGACTACTATGGCGATGTGCTTTGCATATCTTCTACTTTGCGCGGTAGTTGCGGCGTGTTATGAAGGTCATGATGATGATCACTGGTTGTTGTAGGTTTAACGTATTGCTGCTATTAGTGGTTACTGCGTATGCATGCTTTTTCCAGGGTATAAGTTTGCCTATTGTAACTATAAAAGGAGACTTTATGGGACAGGTAGTAATAGGGACCACTTAGACTGCTGTTGGTCGCCCTGTACATGACCAGAGCTTGCTCTGGTGCGGCTAGGGGGATTTTGAAACGCTCCATTGAGGGTAACAGAGTTGACAACTCTCGACACAGTATGACAAAATATGCACATGGTCAACTACATGTGTTGCCGACAATATAAAAGTGCTGCGAAATTTTGGGCACTTCTTGTTGGTTTTTGTACACTTCTACTACCGGAATTTATGTGTGAGCTGTTTACATTTGTGATGAAAGTCCTGGGCCCAGCTGAGGAAAGCAAACATGTATTACAGCACTAATGAGAATACTCGCAGTGTGCGCAATTTGGTCGGGTGAAATGATGTCGCCAGCTCAGCTCGGTATACAGGCATCAACTTTGCATGTTATTGTTAGTGTTGTATATCGCTCAATTACTACATGGGTCCGATTTTGGGAAGAAAATTTACTCAGCCATTTTACACTCAAAATGGATGTACGACTTTCTGACGATACTCGAGTCGACTCTATGAGTATCAGTGTTGGAATATATGTTCCCTTTCCTCAGCTGAGTTCAGGAGTTACCCGGATAGTTATAGGAGGTTATATATATGAAGTAGGGTAGAAGTCTAGTGAAACCAGAGACAGAATTCCGAAATTTGTATACATGGAGTTGATCGTATGCATATTTCGCCGAATTGATGAGAATTCAAAAAGACGCCCGTATTTTCCTCAGGGGTCAATTGATATCACCAAGTCCACGTTGGAGAGTTTGGAGAATTTCTTCGAGGAAGGCTTCTATCTCCCAGGTGGGGTTATGATGATGATTTCACTATTATGAGGAGGGTCCTCAGGCGTCCTCGTACTCCTATGTTCGGTAGTAGTCCCAATAGTGAAGCTGTTGATGATGTTGGTGATATTCATTATTCGTCATACCTTCCCAGAGAAAGCTCACCAGCTCATGTTTGTACTGCGGTACGCCCATGGGAGAAACGCGCCTCGGTATTCCCCTCTGTTGTTTTTCAGGATCATAGCGAAATACCAAATGCTGGATATATTCGTCACAGTTATTATGGTAGCTTTTCTCAATCAGGTAGCACTGTGTGGTGAATCTTCTTTATTATGATAAGACCTTTTTTAGGATGTGATGCGCACTACGTTGCAGACTGGGTTCTACTACTATCTGGCATTTTGTCTACTGAGCATTGGTGGTAGGTGGAGGGGGTATGTATGTCGTACTGGTATCACCATTTTATTAAAGTGCTGGGGGAATACATGTTTGCCTTTTTTTTCAACTCGGTTCAGCTAGGTACTAGAAGTTTACATACAAATTCGAGTAGAAATGCCTACGAAAATTTCCCAAAACTTGTAGTATTGGAATCAATGCTCGGCTGAGCTCAGGAGTTCTTTCGCTGAATATGAATGTTAAAATGGAAAATCCAGAGTTCATAAAATTGTCACTAACACATTTGCATATATTCCCATCCTCCTGTTTTCCTTCAGCTACTCAAGTGTTGTGGTCAATGCTGCCCGACCGGCCACAAGCGTTGTATGCTCAGCAGCTCGCCCGATGGATGCGGGACAGGCAGACGGAGATTGCCTTCAAGAACATCACGGGTCGTTCGCCTGATCAGGCTGATCACTCCAGCTTAGTTCACTACTACACTCGGAATACTGAAGTGGGTGTCCACTGAATGAGCAGTGTTGGAACATATGTTTGGTTTCTCCAGCTGAGGTCAGAAGTTTTCAAAGCTACGTTATGAATATTCACACACGACTGTAGAGTAGAAGTGTACAAAAACCAACACTCATCTCCCAAAAATTTCTCGAAAATTTTTATCATCGCCAACACATGTGTTTGACCATGTGCAGAATTTCCTACACTGTGAACGCGTGATCAAGGCTTTTTGATCCTTCTAGTGTTTATCACTGTAGTGCTAGCCATTACTGTCGCTGTGAGCAATGCTCGGCTGATTCCCGCGTGAGCTCAGGTGCATGGCTCGGTTCCCTTTGGTGAGGCCCTACCAGAAGGTCGACGGCAAGCTGCTCAGAGTGGGGTAGGAGGGGGGGATGTGGCGTCGATGAGGAGGATTGGAGGGAAATTCACGTCAGGCTTGTGGAGATCCTTTGCCTGAGCTCAACACAACGCCGCTTACCACACCACAGCCGAATCGTCGTCGTTGTGAGGGTGATCGAGCATGTTCCAGTGTAGAAGAAGTAGAGGCTCAGGAAGGAGACCGCAAGGCTCGGATAAGTAGGGGGAGGAGTGGTCAGTGCTGAAATAAATGTTCGCTTTCCTCACCTGAGCTCAGAGGTTTCCTCACTAGTTTACAGACAAATTCGGGCAGAAGTGTCCAGAAAACAATAAGAATTTCATTAATTTTCCTCAGAATTTTCACAAATGCCATCGACACATGTAGTTGACCATGTGCATACTTTCCCACACTAGGAATCTGAGCATGATTGGACATTCGTCGGTCCCTCAGGTCGGACGCCTTCTTTTGGTGCAGCAGCTTCAGAGCCGCTTGCCTTCCACTCGTCGGCTCCTCCCAATGAACACAGTAAGCTGTGTCCTAGCTGCCTCAGTCGACATGCTATGATCAGGTCCGGAATCACCACGGGTGGCGACTGTTAATGACGGTACTCTTGTGGTGTGGCCCAGCCGTACTGCTGAACAACGTAGAGGAGGCGGCGCTCTCTCTGAGGTCACCAGTGTGGCCAGTACGTTCAACTTGGCTCAAATCAACAAGCTGTCTCTGTGTACGACTACTGGGCCTATTGGAAGCAGTGGAGGCGGTATGTGTTAGGTGGATCGATATTCACCTGTGGAGGCTGTTGTCGAGGCTTTGAATTCTCCTTGGACACCTTTTTCCTCTATGGAGCCTGCATAACCTTCTACATCGGTCTGTACTGGAGTCTCTACCATAGTGTAAGGTGTTGAGGAGAAGCGTTGTCTGCTGGTGAGTCGGTTTGACAGGTCCTTACTGTTAAAGTGGCATTCAAGGAGAGCTTGATTGTATCACAGAGCACGTTGGGTCTTTGTAAGCATGGCTAGGAGAGTTTATGCAACCGGCACACCTTCTTTTAGTTGGCATGATTGATGGGCTTGTTAAGCAGCATGAGGGTATCAACTACTTTATTCCCGCGGTTGTTTTCGCTGTTTTCGCACTTATTGTGCCGTGTGTTCAAGTCGGCGGAATATTCATCGCTGGTGAGTCCTCACGATCGTTCACACTCCCCCTCACTGTGGGTCCATAGGCACACTCCACGTCCTCCCTTGTCACAAGACGTCTCACACGTGTGCTGATCTTTATCGTTGGCTGCTCTATCTCATCGAGTACCAGTGCTTGTTATTATTGATATATTGTTGAATGGTCGCTTACAGTTACATCAGCGACTGGGCTATGATGGACGTTTTCTCTGTTGCTATGTTCACCACGTTGATCTCTCTCAATGCATTTGATGCCTTGCGAGCTGATGCTCCTCCTGGGTTGCTATCGGGCTTCTACTTCCTACTCATGGCTGGTGAGCTGAGTGGCAACTCTAATGATAGTAGACTGTTTACTCTCAGGGCTAGCCTCGATGGATCTGGCTACGCAAACGCATGAGCTGTTGATGGACGCTATGGCACGGAATGTCGTGGAGATGGCTACTGAGATGATCATACTCGAGCATGTAGGTTCGACGATGGCTTATTGAGAGGGTACACGTCTACTGGTTAGGAGCAAGAGGAATCCTTAAGGGATCCAGAGTATATGATTGGGGACCAGAGTGCCACTACGCCTAGGTCTTATTCATCGTTTACTCGATGGCGACCTGCTCACCCAGACGATGCTATCGCTGACCGGCCTAATGCAGTGGAGAGGAGCGGCAGTATGGCGATCGATGGTCGTAAGCACTCATTCGTAAACTACCACTCTTGAAGTGGCTGCTGCCTGTTTAGGATACCAGAGGGCTCTGTCGCTGCCAACAATAGAGGGTTACTCTCTTGCGGAAAGGCTGAAGTCTCAACAAGGAGATCACGGAGGAGTTGTTGTTGAGCCCTCCATGCCGAAGCCTTCAAGCAGTGCTACGCTGACCGAGCCATTGCTGGATACACAGCAGCAGTCTAGCTTGGTGCCCAGGTCGGCTACTGTCGCCGCCCTAGGGGACTTGGGGAGTCGCTCTGATATGGGTCGGCAGCACTGTGAATGGCCAGCCTTGCATGGTTTTGGATAGGCACTGATATAACCTCAATGTCGCGGAGGGACCCAACAGAGTGGCAGACCTTCCGTATCCTCCGCCGTGAACTTAGACGGAATGCTAGTCGTGCGCAGAAGCAGGCCAGCTCAGCTGCTGTGGCCTCAGCCATGTCATCACCACCCATATCGTAGGTAGCTTCGCTCTTATTCTTCTCACTGTTAGTTCAGGCCAAATGTGTCGAGGCGTTCGAGAGATGAGGGTGATATCGAGGATGGCCACGCCTTGGTGGGAGCTCTTCAGAATGCATGTCTAGTAGCCCCTGGCGCTGCTGCTTCTGAGTCCCTTATGAGACGGAGCAAATCACTGTGAGTCGACGATCTGATTGACATGCATAACAGAAGTTGTCTGTAGGATGGTTCTTCCTCGGAGTAAGAGTTCCCTTGTTGCTACTGAGGAGCAACAACTACATCAGCGGAATTGCTCGTTGCTCTCATCGCTGGCTGGCGGTCGATCTCTGGCAGAGTCAGCACGGTCAGTGGCCGGCACTGGGGAGAAGGTTCCTGCTGTGCTAGAGGCAGCCAAGCGCAAGGTGGAGCAGTACGTTGATATGGAGGCCATAGTGAACAGCCCGAGGCGTCGAAGGAGAAGTTTTGGTGACAATCTGGATGACATTCAAGGTGATCCTTGACACCTTGAGATTTCGTATAGGTTTCTATCTCCTGTTGATTGTAGGCCACCAGAAGGATACCTTGGATGGAGAGAGGCGAGCTGGTCGTGACGATAAAGGGAAGCATTACCGCTTGGTAGCCACCGATGAGAGTGAGAATAATGATAGCGATAACGACTCTACTGCGGACAAGGCCGTACCACCCTTGTGGAAGCGGCTCTTGCAGAGGATGACTGGCACGGTATGTTCAAAGCTGAGGGAAGGTTCCTCCTAGTGTTACCATCATCAGGTGTTGGTCATTAAGGCTGTGAGCTGGGGTATCTTCTTCATAGTGTGGAGCATGCATACAAGTATGCCCCCAGTCGACCTAGATGTTATTGTAAGTCTTGCAGTCGATTCCCGCTATTATCTCTTCGTATGGTAGAACCTATCATTACGAGGGAACCTCCCGTTGATCAACGGTGCATTGCAAGATGCGTTGCCGAGCTCACTTGGTGCATGTAGGGTTGGACCTTTCTATGCTCGCTTGCTGCCACAGCTCCTGTTAGGCACGATTGATCCTCTGCATATAGCGCCTAAGCCGTGTGTTGGGAATAGCTCTCTTTACTACGTCCGTGAAAGGGTATATGAAGTGAACGCCCGATGGGTGACAGGACTGAGGACGACTAAATTGGAGAACATATACCTCTCGGTGCCTAAGGAGAACAGGCTGGCGTTGAGCATTGAAGGCATAGTGACTTAGCCGATTTCTGTGTTGTAGGGTTTGTCGCAGGCGTAATTGACGAGTTACCATTGTCACTATTCGTTGGCCAGTGTGTGACCCCTGATACGTGGTTTACAGGGCGATGCGATAAGCTTTGGGACAATACGGATG